ATTTTCTACATGTTTACTCTGTTCAAATCGAGGGTGGGTGGTTGGCGGGTGCTCTGGTGTGGTTTGCTTCTTCTTTCCTTCTATCAAACATCTATCGTCTTTATCTACCCTCCTTCTCTTTTGTGTTTGTTACTCTCTTGTAACAACTCTGATCTTCGGCATTTATATGACCTTATTGTGTTGCAAGTGCAGTAAAACTTTTACTGAAACTAAACTAAAATCAGGCGCCAATATGACCTTATGTAGTTGCGAGCGCCGTAAAACCCTCTACTAAAACAAAACTAAACCAAAATCAAATCGAGCCTGCGCCAAGTCCGTTTTTACTTGTAGGATCAACGACAACAGTTTTTGAACCGCACCATGTCCATGTAGGTATCTCGGAAGTTCTTGTTCATGACCACGTAGATGACGAAGTTGACGGAGCAGTTGATGACGCAGAACAAGTTGACGACCTCGTTCAACACCACGGTGATCATGTGGGCGTCTTGCCGCCGCGCGTAGTAGTCCTTGATGACGTCTGAGTGGCAGAGGAACACCACCGTGCTGCAGATGGTGTAGACCAGGCACACCACCAGGAGGGTGGTCGTCACCCGGACAGACGACGCCGAACCGGCCGCGTTCCCGCCCGTCATTTTGTTCCGTTTCATGATCGCCAGCTTTATTTTGATGGCCAGGACGACACAACTGAAGAACACGTAGCAGATGGGAAACGGTCCGTAGACGACTTTACTGAATTCTCTCACCGCGTCCGTTACGTCCAGGGTGTTTCTATAAATAGCCGCTTCGACCATTCCTTCCGGGTCACTTCTGTTCACCAATAAAGCCTCAATATCATATCTCAGCCCATCTCTTACAGTTAGATACGTCATCATGGTGTAAAAAATTGCGAAGAGAGCGGACACCGCTAAGGAAGTCTTTAGCGGAGAAACTATTCTCGATAAGTTGAGAGGGAAAAACACCGCCAAAAGACGTTCGGAGGTTATAAGTAACGGCATCGAAAATGACACCCAGCCGCCTCCATAGTCGAGTACGCGCAGAATCTCCAAGAACACAAAGTAAAAAGAGTCGACCCTCCTCGGATATTCAAATCCCGTCGTTACTGCGAAGCTGTAAAAGAACATACAAGCGAGAAAAGAGGAATCTGAGCAAGCTAGAGCCACCAGCATGACGTTGTAGCTTTTGTCCAGGCCATGACGTAACAGAACACATATACTCATGACGTTCCCTGCAATGCCGAAACCGGAAATGATAGGCAGGATAACGACAATAAGCACGTAGACTGCAACCTCCGCCCTCGCCCTGGTCAGATAAGTTGTGCCGTCATTACAGGGCTGCTCTGGGTCATCTGTGCCGAGACTTACAGTGGCATTGAAGTTGTTCGTATCTCTGGTGCCAGGGAAACAGTTCATATCGCTGGCTTGTCCTGTCATTTTCTTAAGGGAGACTCTTGGACGTTCAATTCGTCTCTCTGAAGAGACGCGTTTTCAAACCAATACGCCTTTATAATAGCATGAAATTTGACAGAAGCGATGTTTATTCGTTTCTTGTCCCTCTGTGCCAGGGACAGAAGGTCCTTTGTGGCGATACACGCCAAGATGCTGAAATTGCACTTGTTTCGGCAACTGACGTTGACCCACACAGATTAAAATCTTAAAACCCTAACAATCGAAAACATATTCAGACAAACAGGTGCTCATAAAGGCACGAACTTCTCCAACATTTAGTCGATCAGGTCTAGTCTCAATTATTGTCCTAGTCAGTTTGCTCTAAGTCATTAATGAATGAAACGGAAACAAGAAAAAAAACCCACCGAACCAATAACAAACAAAGAAACCCAAAAGAGTGTCGACAAAAGAACTATGCAGTACTTACTTATAATATATTATATTGTTACAGGGAATATTCTAAAATGTTGACAACCTGGGCCGATGCACGCTGTCCCTGTCTACTGGGTACTAACAAACTGAAGTGGCAGCGTCTATCTACCAGGTGTGCACGTAACCTCAACCCACCAATAAGACAAGCATTAAAATTTGCAGCCTGAACGGCACGTAGCGATTACACTCCCGCCTTGTCTCTGTTGTTGTTTTATTTCTGTGCAACAATGGTGGACAAGGAATCAGTCTTTACTTTATGTTGTATTCTAACAGGCATTCCTCAGTACTACTGTACTCTCCGTCTATTTAAATACCGTTACTTCACATTTTATGCAACAATTATTATACGCTTCGTCTCAGTTTTACTCAATCGTATGTTGACCTTTTGTCATTATAGAAGTTTCGAGAGGCTGGAAGCCGTAATCTAAGATCAATACAAATTGTAGCTTGAATTTTTTCACAGAGATTAAAACCTTTTTTTTTTTTTAGATTACCGTTGTGTAAAGAAAATTAGTGGTAATAGACTGTACTTGTATTGGCATCCATACTTTTGTTCTCATTTTGCAGATGACATTACCTCGAGCGTGACAACTCCTCATTGGAAGAAAAAAACCCAAACCTGTAATATTTTATCATGTTTTTGCGTAGACAGTGTGAGGAGGGTTAAGGCTTCTATATTATTCTTTGTCGACTTTCTTGTGATGAGGTGGAAAAATGTATAGCATTTAACTGAAAGTACGCCTACTAGGGAAAAAGCATGCACTCCTTAGGGAAGAGTAAGAGGTAACATTTACACAAACGGGGAACCCTCCTTGTATGTCATAAAGTGGATCATTTCTGTATAAATCTTAAGACGGTGATTACACACAATTTGGTTCGGCAGTAGAATTGCTTGTTAAACGTTATGGAATCTGTTAGGTAAAAGAATAATTATTCTTTGAGAAAGTGGAATAATTTTTCTATGTTTGATCACAGTAAAACGCACATAATATTTTAAACGTCATTACCGGGCTGAGCCTATGTACACGTACTTGTATAATTATATTTAAAAAGTTGGAGATTTTGTGATCTTTTTGAATTTGCGCTGGTTTCAATACTTCATATCAAGGTGAACATTTGTTAATAAAACCGTTTAAAATACTTTCTTTCTGGCTCTGAATGGACACCCAGTTGTTATAATATTTGTGAACTACCTTTTTCAAAGGCGGGTTCATGCAATTAAAGAAGGGGGAGGAGGGTTATCCTGAACCTACATAGTTCAACATTTTGAATTCAGTTGTAGCATCAAGTCTTGTATTGATTCTTAATTAAATGATTATCTCTCCTTCTACATGCCGATGATATTTGTTTTTCGTGTTACAAGTACGTGCACTTTCCATGACGACACAGACCACATTTCAACATTCTCGCTGAAAGCAGAACAGAAGCAAGACTGTTTTCCTTGTGCGATATTTTTAGAATATTTTGACTTCACAGTGGATTGCTATTACCTGGATATACGGCTAAACATTCACAGCGTGTAAAAACAAATTTTGTTTGTTTTTGAGTCACGGTTTTATTTGTTACAGGGAGTTTCTTCAGTTCAGTTTCTTTTTTAAAAATGCATATCAAATCAAAATGCATGTCTTACTCTTCAAGAAATAGTTTTCTTATTCTTAAGGTGTAGAAGAGAAGCGATGCCATGCCTCAAAGGACGGAAGTACAGACCAATTGCCTCGTACTTCAAGACAAAACTTAACGTAGCGGTACTGGCAAGGACAATGAATATGATTCATAGAACAATATGCCCTAATGTTCCACGCCACCTGAAGCGGTTAAAACGACATTCTCAGAAATGACAGACCTTGAGCTAGCAACCCTCAGAAGACTGGCACATTACAGCGACAATACCTTTGAGATCGCTTCCCAACTCCTGAACGGTATATCCCAGCCTATCATGGCGCTCCATACCACGCGCCACATCGAATGTAGAGACTGAACTGGCTTCTCCATAATGTCCAGATAGAGAAAGTTATGGAACCAATGAACATGTACTCAAGCCTTGTGAGCCAAAATGAACAACTCTTCTACGCTATTTCCAGATTGAGTAATGTCGTGAAATCAGAGGATCAGAGAATGAGGTTTCTCTCCAAAATCGGTAAGATACAGAAATGTATTACCCTAGACCAGGTTTCATGCATATCTGTGGTAGACACTGGGAGACAACATTGTGTCACTCTTATATTCCTGGCGATAAACAAAGACAGACAGGTATATCTGTTTTCTTATTATATTGGCCCCGACAAAATATTAATGAGTTTAAGTTCCTCCCTATGTTTTTCTGTAAAAATCCAAGGGTTGATTTATAGACTCCTTTCTCGTGGGACTTTCTCGTGGCTCACACAACTTTGCAGTGACTTTCTTTGTTGGTCAGTTCATACCAGGGCGCCACCCCAGTCCTGTGGGGAAGTTGCAGCGTTTGAGACAGTTATGCACACACCGCTTTCGTTCCACTCGCAGCGGCTTTTTGATTACTTCTGCAAACACCAAAGGACAACAAACGTAGAACTTATGTTATTGATTTGCAGAGTTGATCGAGTACTGGTCACTGCCGCGTTTGCAGCATAGAAATAGTATTGTGAACGTTTGGCAAGTTTCACTGTTCTATTCACAATGTGAATATATTTATATTAGGATTGTGTATAATTTTTCTAATTCTTATTTCACAAATATTTATCTGGAGTTATATAAACTGTCGGTTCTGATGCTATTGTTTCTTCAATAGTACCACATTGCCAGCTGTAAACTGCTGGCATGAAAATGCAGTTCTAGCGAATGCCTAGAACCAAAGAGGTTAGAGAAATCCTAGGGGTTGGAAGTGATCTTTTCTGCTTTTTTAGGGTCACCATGGCGAAATGTGGCCATTATTGTGCATGAAGATTCCCCGAAAAGTTAATTCAACTGCATGGTACGATAAACACACCTACCCGAGTAACGTCTTCAGGATTTTTAACGCTTAGGTAAAAGCCAGTAGAACCGCGACTGAAAAATACGTTTGTCAGTTTCTGAGGGCGCAGAATTTACTCCACCCAACAAAAGCTTTCCGAAAACGCCTCATTTTCAACGCTGGCATACAAAAAAGCTAACATCATGTGGCCAAGAGAGTCAATGTACCTTCTTAGGCTAGTACCGCACTATGACAGTTTGTCCTGGGACAGACCCGTCTGGATTTTGAAACCTTTGAATTAGAGTAATGTACCGCATCTATTACGACAGGACATTTTTGTCGATTTGAGTCCCGGGCAGTTGTGAATTGCGACAACATCGGTGGGACAGGACTATCCCAGTCCGGGGGTAATATCGTCTGCGATTATAGAGAAATATAGCCGCTACCCCATTAGGACATAACTGTCCCAGGCTTCGTGGCACCTGTTGTTAAGATCGTGGGGCTCGCGATTTGAGACGTTAAAACACTTTAAAATTTGTCGCCGCGCAGGATTAAACTTGGGGCACAAAATTAAAAAAATAATTATCGCATCTCAAAACGGATTTCATATTCGGAATTAGTGTCTCAAAATAAGCAAAATGGCTCGCGAGGAACCTGATTTGATGCGATACTATGTACATTTTAGCAAGTACTGTTATTTTTA